TTTTATATATGCCTAGTACATATTAATTTTCAAATTGAACAAAAATATTTTATAAGTAACAGATAAGGAATTACGTATCAGCATGCATATACAATGAGTAATCAAACTCAAGATACAAAAGATATTCAAACCAAGCCCACCTATCAAGAAGTTGAGCAAGCTTTAATTAATGTAGTTAAAGCAGGCATCTATTATAAAAAGCCAAAAGAAGGTAAATTCATGCAAAGTTATAAAGAGTGAATTATAAAATTACATCAAGCAGAAGACCTAGAAGAATATATATTAAAGTTAGCTAAAACAATATTTCTCAATGAAGAAAAATATCATAAAATCAAAGATGACTATAAAGAATTTTATGGATGAGACCCAAAGATATTTTCTTCTATTATAGAATTATATAAATTATATTACAATTTAGCTAAAGATTATTTCATTAAAGAAGCCCAAATCGATAAAGAAGCAAAAGATTTTTTTAATTTATAAAAGACCAGGAACACCAACTTGAAATATTCCACGAACATCTTATATTGTGAGTCTTTGATTCTCTTTTGGGACTAACTTGTAAGCACCCACTGAGGAGGTAATTGCACATTCTTTATGACTTGGAGCTCTTCTCTAACAAAAGACTATTTTGGTCCATTTCTATTAATATCTTCAATCCAATATAAAACTAGTTGATTTTTTTGTACTAGAGATTCATGAATATAATAAATCTGAGGAGACCAATTTATATCGGTAGCATGTCTTCTTCCACCTTTCAATTCACCAGGCTTAAGTAAATATAAAACAAGATTATTATATGTTAATTGAATCTTATTATAACCTATAGGTCCATATCTTGGTTTAGAAGCTTTAGCATATACAAATTTCTTTTTAATAGCTTCATTAGGGGTTATACCAAGAAGCCAAGTTACAGAGTTATTAAGATCAGAATAATAATTAGGTGATTCTTAACTCAGGCTCTTGATCTTTTAGGTAAAGGTAGCAATAACTCTTGTGCATCTTGAATATGAAATAATTTTTCAGTTAAAGTTTGATTAAATCTTTCAATTATACCCATACTACTTTTAGAACTAGCTTTTTGGATTTTAATACCATGTTCTTTTATAAGTTTTTCACAGCTACCTTTAAACTCTGAACTCATATCAGTTAATAATAATTTAGGCCATGTAAGAAGACATTTTGAATTATTAAAAATTTTAACGAAAACTTTAGCAACTATAGCAGAAGTTAGTATACCTTCCAAAGAAGGCTTATCCATATTCAAAATATCCAAAGTAGTTCCAATTGGTTCTGCTCATTTATATCTTGATGCAACATCTATACAAGTAAGACAAAATATATAAGTTATAGATTCTACTTTATCATATGGCATATAAAGAATATCAGCTTGTATAACTTCCATAGGAATGGTAATTTTATTAAAACTAGCACAAGGAATATACTTTGGTCGAGGTTTATGAATTAAATGTAATAACTGTCTTTCAAGCCATTCTTCTATTTCAGCTAATGCAAAATCAAACCCACTACACTCTAAAGCATTAAAAAGATTCTTAACAGTTCTTTGATAACCAGAAGGTTGATAATATATTTTTTGCAATGCAATAAATATTTCAAGTTTTCTCACTTTTTCAAAATCACTATATATTAAGGGATAGAGCATAATAAAAGATCAAATAGATTAGTTAAGGCTAAAGAATATTTGCAGACAATACAAGATCGATTTTGCAAATTCCAACAGAATCTAGTTTCTAAAGAAGATTATATTAAATATCTTGAAAAAGAAATCTCAATTCAGGATAAGGAGCTAAATCCATTAAGATCAGAAATTTCTAATTTTATAAAACAGTTAGAAAAAATATTTAAAAAGGCAAAAAACTGAAAAAATTATATAGCTTATTTAGAAAAGCAGTTAGTATTTTTTCAAAATGAAATAGACAAGCTTAATGAAAAAATACTTATTTTGTATAAAAATTCCAATGTTACTATAGAGATGGCACAACAACTAGGATCACCTAGATTATCTCTAACTGAAAATCAAACCACGATCCAAAATAATAGAATTCAGCAAGAGATTAATAATATTAAACAGTATTTTCAAAGCCCAGTCACAATAGCACCTACAATAAATGGTATTGTAGATTATCTTAATATAATTTTAGATGCAGGCAATAGGTTTGAAAGATTGGTACTAGATATATATCCACAGGTGAATACTCATGCAATTAATGCAGAAAATCAAGTAGCAAATTTGCAAACCCAGTTAGCTAATTCACAAACCCAGTTAGCTGATTTACAAACCCAGTTAACCGATTTACAAACCCAGTTAGCTATGCTCCAAAATGACTATAACCTTTTTCACCAAGCTTATGGGGCCTACAGAACACAACACAATATATTTAAATCTCAAGAACTTGATGGTCAAATTACAATCTGTACACAAAAAAGTCAAATATCAGAGTTGTTAGCAGAAAAATTTACATTGCGTCTTTTGAATAGATGAACTCAAAAGCAATTACAAAATTGTGAAGCAGATGGAGCGACAACCGCACATTTCTTAAATCTTACAAGAAATCGATATATCAAATGGAAGAGAAAATGCAAGACTTTAAAAAATGACCTATTACTTGCTAATGTTCAGCTTGATATCAAGTGGGGTAAGTGGAAAGCCCAAACCCGAAATTCTGAACAATTAATTAATAATTTAAATCAACAAATATTTTAATTACAAAATAAGCAACCAATTTTAGCAAACATGGCAACAATACAAGAAGTAATGGCTGTAGTAACTCCCTTAATTGCACCAATTCCACAATATATTGGCCAAGAACCTCCAGAAGACTATGTTAATAAAATTAAACAGTTATATAATTATGGTAGTACAGTAGGTGTTGTGGTGGGCTTTAATAATGCTGTAAAAATCCAGATTTTAGCTTCAAAAATGGGAGGAAAATATATACTACCCAATCCATTTAATAATCAAATAGGAATTGCAGTCAATACACCAGCATTGTTTTTAGCATGGCTTAATACAGAATATCAAAGAAACAATATCGGTATTTAACAAATCACAACTTAAAGATTAACCCAAAAAAAATTTACATCATATGATACTCCAGAAACTTACGAAACAAGAATCAAACCATTTTTATTAGGAGTACCAATTAATGATAACTATGTATTAGGAGTGCTTAAAAATCAATTACCAACAGAGCTTTACAATCAAATGACAATAGCACCTTCAGCAGATATTCCAGCATTCTTTACAAGTCTAAAAAATATATAGTTAGAACGAAAACCTGATACATTTACGTATAGGAGAGGCTCTATTTATACCAATGGAATTTCTCAACTTGCATCATTTCAACCAATAATACAACCCCAGTTTCAGCAAAACTTTCAAAACCCTTCGTAACCAGTAATTCAAATCCAGTTATAGCAAAACTTTTAAACCTCTTCTCAACTAGTAATTCAACTCCAGTTACAAAAAAATGTACCTCCACCTTTACATCCTGGTCATGAGTACCGACTTGAGGAATTTCATATAAATAATTTTATGTATGACCAAGCAAGACAGATGGGAATTGGAATAACTCCTACCCCATTAAGCAAATTACTATCTGAAGGGAAAATAATTTGTCTAAAGTCTGAAAAAGCCAAAGCCTTACAAGAAATAATGGATTATGCCAGATTGGGTCTTGATATAGAAGATGAAAGACCTTACAATCCAATGGAAATTGATCTTGCTATTGTTAATATTGCAAGAAGAATTGGAGGAAATACTATTATTCCTACTATGAATATAGTTAATGCATCCCAAACTGTTAGAAAAAAGAAACTACCTGTTAGAAAGAGAGTTATTAAAAAGCTTGTTAGACCCAAGAATAAACAAGTAAACTTGGTTACCTATGAAGAAGCAACAGAAGATCCTAATAATGAGGAAGAGGAAGTTTATGAAGAGATAGTTTATGAGGATGAGGATAATGAAAATGTTGAGTATATAGAAGTTGAAGATAGACCTAAAGAAATGCTTTGCAATAATTCTACTGTAGCTATGAATCTTGTAAAAAAAATGTAGTTAAAAAACCATTACTAGCTGAGCCGACTCACAATAATTATAAAAAAATAGAGCAAAAAGTTATTGAGATTTGTAAAAAAAATTTTCAAAATGAGCTTAGAAATATTCTTAACGAATTTAAAACTCTTTTATCTTCTTATAATTTATTACCAGAATTAGCAAGCTCTATGGCTTTAGATGAATCTATGGATATTAATTTGGTATGTTGTCCTGCTAATAATCTTACAACTGCTGAATATAGAATTAATAATATTTTAATTCCCAAAGCAGTATTGGATGGAGGTGCTCAGTGTACTATAATAAGTAAAAAACTAGCAAGGCATCTTGGATTAAAAATTGATACAACCAATCCTCCATCTCTCGAGGGAGTTGCCACTGATGCCAGCTCATACGGATGGTGTTATAATATACCGATTACATTTACAAATAGAGCATTAACAAGAGATACAGATTATACAATGATACATGATATAATAGTTAGTGATTATAATAAATATGCTTTGATTATTGGCACTAACTGGCTTGATCTTGCTGGAGATAAAGTAGACTATAAAAAGCATAAATTTAGAGTTGGCAATACATTTGTTCCTATTTTAGTTCACAGATCAAATATTAAAGTAAACTGCATAACCACAGATCATAACTCAAAAGATTATTGCTCTGCAATAAAAAAAAAATAATTAATATATCTCAAGTTCAAAATAATTCTATATGGGAAGAATGTATAAATTACTTTTTCCAAGATATATGTGCTTATACACCAACTCCATTGTTAGAATATGATTTACCATCTTTTTCTTCTAATGCATAAATAAAATTATATATAGTACTATCTCGAATATATTTTTTTAATGAAAGTTCGAATAATTTTGTACTCCAATTAGCTATATCTATCTTAATTTGATTGCATTCTATATCTTTCTGTTGCTTAATAATTTTTAAGGTTTCTTCAGTAGATTTAATAAATTCTTGACATAAATTATCTGTAGCTTCTTTAATTCTAGCATTAACCTCTTCTTCAGAGTATAATGGAGCAATATTGGTATAGAGTATTGAGAAAGCTGAGCTTCGAGACTTTGTCTCTGCTTCTATTGTAGGATTATATTGAGATTTTTTATTTTTTTGATATCTATCAACTTCATGTTTTAAAAATGCCTCTATAATAGGGTTAATACTACTAGCTTCACTTATAGATAATGGATTCTTTTTTCAATTTGTAAGTTGATTCCATCTAGCTTTTATTAATGAAGGTGGTAGTTGAATAAGAAGATATGAATAACTTTCATGAAAATTCATATAATTTTATGAAATATATTTTCATGAAATAT